ATAGTTCGCCCTGTTTCTTCGGACCCTTCTCTATCAAACATGATGCGAAGCTCAAGGACTCAAGGGGATGAATCTGTTGAACAAAAGAATCAGAAAGATGTCACCAGAAACTGTCTGGAACCAGTTTCCTTCGATACAAAGAAAGCATGATAACAAAGGCTCATTCAAAGTTGAAAGCATCCCCTGCAAGATTAGCATGCTCTTCTCGGTCTTCCACGTGCAATCCTTCTGTAACATTCTGGCGGAAATCACCTAGCCCGACTAGAAGTTTCTGCCGCATTTGTTGGCAAACAAACCTCCGGAAACAGAGCAGTTGCAAGACACTGGCTGCATTTGTTGGTTTGTGATGTCTGTGCCTGATGCTGTACTGAGACATACCACCACTAGCGGCAGGTTGGCGGTCAGAGGAGCATTGGAAAACCACCCAGTGATTTGCATCTATCGCAAGCACAAGGGCCTTCTTCTGATGTCACGATCTGATACTGTGTCCCAAAATCCTGTCTACACATCTGTATGGCGTGGCTTATGCAACTTATGAAGAATCAGCTTTTCTTTGGAGACTAACCCATGTGAATGACAGCAAAAACCACTCCGGAAGCACTGCACATGGAAAAATGGTCTCAGGAATTGGTGTGGAAGTGATGGCCTCAACAACTCTCTTGACAGCAACAAAGTCCACGGCAAGTGAGGGACTGGATACCAGCACAGGGCATGTTCATCCACTGCACTGGGGAGTGAAAACAGGTCAGTGTTTCAAAACACTCTGCCACAAGCATCGTCACGTTGATATGCTGAGATGCTCTTTGTTGGACGGCTCTTGGTGGGTCACCACTCATTCCAGACACCTGCGCAAGCCACCAAAAGTCAAGTGCGCCGATGTGGTTCCGGCTGCACGGGCCCGTAGTTATAACGAAACATCCGGAAACAGAGCAGTTGCAAAGACACTGGCTGCATTTGTTGGTTTGTGATGTCTGTGCCTGGTGCTGTACTGAGACATACCACCACTAGCAGCAGGTAGGCGGTCAGAGGAGCATTGGAAAACCACCCATTGATTTGCATCTATCGCAAGCACACGGGCCTTCTTCTGATGTCACGATCTGATACTGTGTCCCAAAATCCTGTCTACACATCTGTATGGCGTGGCTTATGCAACTTATGAAGAATCAGCTTTTCTTTGGAGACAAACCCATGTGAATGACAGCAAAAACCACTCCGGAAGCACTGCACATGGAAAAATTGTCTCAGGAATTGGTGTGGAAGTGATGGCCTCAACAACTCTCTTGACAGCAACAAAGTCCACGGCAAGTGAGGGGCTGGATACCAGCACAGGGCATGTTCATCCACTGCACTGGGGAGTGAAAACAGGTCAGTGTTTCAAAACACTCTGCCACAAGCATCGTCACGTTGATATGCTGAGATGCTCTTTGTTGGGCGGCTCTTGGTGGGTCACCACTCATTCCAGACACCTGCGCAAGCCACCAAAAGTCAAGTGCGCCGATGTGGTTCCGGCTGCACGGGCCGCTCAATGGGCGCCAACAGTTCTGAAGCATTCAACAGAGATGTTTCCAAGTCCTCTCCAATTCGATTCGGGATGTGTCTTTCATGAGCTGACGAGCAAAACCAAAACACTCGTGACCAAGAAAGAATAGTTCGCCCTGTTTCTTCGGACCCTTCTCTATCAAACATGATGCGAAGCTCAAGGACTCAAGGGGATGAATCTGTTGAACAAAAGAATCGGAAAGATGTCACCAGAAACTGTCTGGAACCAGTTTCCTTCGATACAAAGAAAGCATGATAACAAAGGCTCATTCAAAGTTGAAAGCATCCCCTGCAAGATTAGCATGCTCTTCTCGGTCTTCCACGTGCAATCCTTCTGTAACATTCTGGCGGAAATCACCTAGCCCGACTAGAAGTTTCTGCCGCATTTGTTGGCAAACAAACCTCCGGAAACAGAGCAGTTGCAAGACACTGGCTGCATTTGTTGGTTTGTGATGTCTGTGCCTGATGCTGTACTGAGACATACCACCACTAGCGGCAGGTTGGCGGTCAGAGGAGCATTGGAAAACCACCCAGTGATTTGCATCTATCGCAAGCACAAGGGCCTTCTTCTGATGTCACGATCTGATACTGTGTCCCAAAATCCTGTCTACACATCTGTATGGCGTGGCTTATGCAACTTATGAAGAATCAGCTTTTCTTTGGAGACTAACCCATGTGAATGACAGCAAAAACCACTCCGGAAGCACTGCACATGGAAAAATGGTCTCAGGAATTGGTGTGGAAGTGATGGCCTCAACAACTCTCTTGACAGCAACAAAGTCCACGGCAAGTGAGGGACTGGATACCAGCACAGGGCATGTTCATCCACTGCACTGGGGAGTGAAAACAGGTCAGTGTTTCAAAACACTCTGCCACAAGCATCGTCACGTTGATATGCTGAGATGCTCTTTGTTGGGCGGCTCTTGGTGGGTCACCACTCATTCCAGACACCTGCGCAAGCCACCAAAAGTCAAGTGCGCCGATGTGGTTCCGGCTGCACGGGCCGCTCAATGGGCGCCAACAGTTCTGAAGCATTCAACAGAGATGTTTCCAAGTCCTCTCCAATTCGATTCAGGTGTGTCTTTCATGAGCTGACGAGCAAAACCAAAACACTCGTGACCAAGAAAGAATAGTTTGCCCTGTTTCTTCGGACCCTTCTCTATCAAACATGATGCGAAGCTCAAGGACTCAAGGGGATGAATCTGTTGAACAAAAGAATCAGAAAGATGTCACCAGAAACTGTCTGGAACCAGTTTCCTTCGATACAAAGAAAGCATGATAACAAAGGCTCATTCAAAGTTGAAAGCATCCCCTGTAAGATTAGCATGCTCTTCTCGGTCTTTCCCGTGCAATCCTTCTGTAACATTCTGGCGGAAATCACCTAGCCCGACTAGAAGTTTCTGCCGCATTTGTTGGCAAACAAACCTCCGGAAACAGAGCAGTTGCAAGACACTAGCTGCATCTGTTGGTTTGTGATGTCTGTGCCTGATGCTGTACTGAGACATACCACCACTAGCGGCAGGTTGGCGGTCAGAGGAGCATTGGAAAACCACCCAGTGATTTGCATCTATCGCAAGCACAAGGGCCTTCTTCTGATGTCACGATCTGATACTGTGTCCCAAAATCCTGTCTACACATCTGTATGGCGTGGCTTATGCAACTTATGAAGAATCAGCTTTTCTTTGGAGACTAACCCATGTGAATGACAGCAAAAACCACTCCGGAAGCACTGCACATGGAAAAATTGTCTCAGGAATTGGTGTGGAAGTGATGGCCTCAACAACTCTCTTGACAGCAACAAAGTCCACGGCAAGTGAGGGGCTGGATACCAGCACAGGGCATGTTCATCCACTGCACTGGGGAGTGAAAACAGGTCAGTGTTTCAAAACACTCTGCCACAAGCATCGTCACGTTGATATGCTGAGATGCTCTTTGCAGAGGTTGGAATGTGCCGAATCTTCGAAGAAATTTTCGTTTGGCATGATTTGATAGTGCCCTACCCGGTACAATGTTCGGCCGTGTCGACACTTTCGGCTGAACTCACTGAACATCCTGATTCGCACCACTGGGGCACAATCTTGCCAGCTGAAGAAACACACAAGCCCCACAACGTTGACTTTTTGACTTTCTTTATCAAACTCAGTTCAAGTGTCACGATGCTCCAAATCAACAATCGTTTTGAAACTGTGTGCTCTGTTGTTTCCGCCGCAATCGCTTAAACCAACCCTTGAGAAGGAGAAAGCAACACCACAGCGGTATTCTGGCTGCAGAAAACGGGCTGGTTGGCTTCAGAAAACTCTAATCGTTGGTATCTTGGACTGGTTGCAGGTTCAGAACACTCCACCTCATGTTCGGTGAGAGTTGGAGGCATCTGCACAAAGTGGCATTTGTAGCTTAGATTGTCTGAGCAAGAATCACACAGAGCTGATTTTTCCACAAACGCCTCCACTTCAGCTGAAGGTCATCTGTATCCAGTTCCACCTGGTCGCATGCAGGTGTACCCCCGTGTGACTCAACCATCCCTGGTTTGGAAACAAGGTCTTTGTCAAGGATACGTTGTCTTGTTTCGCTTGTCTCAAATAACAAATTCGGAAACTAGAAGTGAAATAGTGTGACCTAATCCGGTTTTGGGGAACCATGGTAAAATCCAGTTCGACACCAGCATTCCACGTTGCTTTGTACTAATATATTTTCTATGTACAACCTGCAATTTGATTGTAACAGAACATGGAATTTGTTTTTTCAGTTTGAAGGTACAATGTTCTGCAAACGATGATATTATATATGATATATCAGTATTCTACATGTACAACCGCTTTTAAGCTTACTGCAAACGGTGTCTGAACCAAACGACTTCGCCACGACAACGCCGCAAAACGCCCCAAATTGGAGGGGTCGCTTTTGCGGTCGAATCAATGGACCCATGGATTGTCATTTTAGGTGACTGGAAACTAGTTGAAAATTTCAGTGATTATTGGTGATAATTGATGGTGATTACTGGTCATAATTGAATATCATTGAGATCTTGGTGATAATTTTCATGGTGTGTTTACTTGTGAATTTTGATGATTATTGGACCCACAATATCTCTTAATATCAAAACATATCAAACTATCCCTTCTTGGTGATAGTTCAAACTATCCCTTCTGTGCATAAGACTAGACACATATTACCCTCTGGTAAATTAACATAGACCCTGGCAGATAGGGGTTGGAAGACTAGTTTCCATTAAAAATTGGTGATTTTCAGGAAAAAAATGTTAATCTTCACACACCCAGACATGGCAAATCCGCAGTAAGAGGATACCTGGAGAAAGTGTTCCCGGGCCTCCAGGGATTCACCGTGATATACCGTGAGGCTCACCGACCTGAGCGCTGCGAATCCATGAGATACAAAACATAACATTGAGTTGGCCTCTTTCAAACCGGCGCAAAACATGGAACATCATGGAACATACTAACGCAACATATACACCTGAGAAGGGGGGACGAAAGCCAGCCCTTAGCCCGAATCTTTTTGTTTCCGCAGAGAAATGTCGTGGTAGCGGCCATGATCGAAGTTATCACCCCAAACGTCCTCTTACAATCCCGTATGAACAGAAGCCCAAACCATCTGCAGCACCTTTGGAAGACTTCTCCATGCTTTGCAACCCTTCGCCCCCCCTTCCTCAGTATCACTTCTCATCCCCTTGCAAATTATCCTGTTCCGAACCCCAACGGACGCTGCTCTCCGTTGAGCTTCGGAGTTCCTCCATTTTCCTCCGTTTTCCCGCTGCTTTTAACGATTTTCCTTCATATTCTTTCGTTTTTTTCAAACCCTTTTCCTGCCGTTGCTCCACTTTCCTCCGTTCCCAAAACGGCCGTTTCCCAATGATCCCAGAAGAGAAATTCAATAGCCGACCGAAGGGCCGCTAAATGGCAGAGAGTTGCTCCCATGCTTCCCCGTAACCTCGCGTAGCCAACTGTCACCTCCCTCCCATACAGAGACAGACACAGACACAGACAGACATACACACAGCACTCTACACTTCACACTCTACACTTTACACTCTACACTTTACACTCCACGCTCCACACTCCACAGTGTAGACTTTACACTCTGCACTTTACAGTCTACACTTTACACTCTACACTCCACACTCCACACTTTACACTCCACACTCTAACACTTTACACTCTACACTTTACACTTTACACTTTACACTCCACACTCTACACTCTACACTTTACACACTACACTTTACACTCTACACTTTACACTCCACACTCCACACTCTACACTTTACACACTACACTCTACACTCGACACTCTTCACTCTACACTCCATACTTTACACTTTACACTTTACACTCCTCACTCCTCACTGCACACTCTACACTCTACACTCCACACTTTACACTCCGCACTCTACACTCTACACTTCACACTCTACACTCTACACTCCACACTTTGCACTTTACACTTTACACTCCACGATCCACACTTTACACTCCACACTCCACACTCCACACTCCACGCTCTACACTTTACACACTACACTTTACACTCTACACTCTTCACTCTACACTCCAAACTTTACACGTTACACTTTGCACTCCGCAATTTCTCACTGCACACTTTACACTCCACACTCTACACTTTACACTCCACATTCTACACTTGACACTTTACACTCCACACTCCACACTCTACACTCTACACTCCACACTTTCCACTTTACACTTTACACTCCATACTCCACACTTTACACCCCACACTCCACACTCTACACTTTACACTCCACACTCCACACTCTGCACTTTACACACTACACTTTACACTCTACACTCTTCACTCTCCACTCCATACTTTACACTTTGCAATTTACACTTTACACTCCTCACTGCACACTTGACGCTCCACACTCCACACTTTACACTCCACACTCTACACTTTACACTCTACACTTTACACTCTACACTCCACACTTTACACTTTACACTGTACACTTCTCACTCCACACTTTACACTCTACACTTTACACTCTACACTCCACACTTTCCACTTTACACTTTACACTCCATAATCCACACTTTACACTCCACACTCTACACTTTACGCTCCACACTCCACACTCTACACTTTACGCACTACACTTTACACTCTACGCTCTTCACTCTCCACTCCAGACTTTACACTTTACACTTTACACTCCACACTCCACACTCCACACTCTACACTTTACACACTACACTTTACACTCTACACTTTACACTCCACACTCCACACTCTACACTTTACACACTACACTCTACACTCGACACTCTTCACTCTACATTCCATACTTTACACTTTACACTTTACACTCCACACTCTACACTTTAAACTCTACACTTGACACTCTACACTCTACACTCCACACCTTACACTTTACACTGTACACCCCTCACTCCACACTTTGTGTCAAAGATGATGTGTGACAAAGTGGTGTGGGACAAAGTTGTGTGCGAAAGATGGTGTGTGACAAAGCTGTGTGTGAAAGATGGTCTGTGACAAAGTTGTGTATGAAAGATGGTGGGTGAAAGGGGGTGTGTCACAAAGTGGTGTGTGAAAGATGGTGTGTCACAAAGTAGTGTGTGAAAGATGGTGTGTGACAAAGTTGTGTGTGTGTGAAAGATGGTGGGTGAAAGATTGTATGTCACTCCACACTTTACACTCCACGCTCCACACTTCATACTCCATACTCCACACTCCACACTCTACACTTTCCACTCCACACTCCACACTCTACACTTTACACTCTGCACTTTACACTTTACACTCTGCACTTTACACTCTACACTTCACACTCTACACTCTACGCTCCACACTTTACACTTTACATTGCACACTCCCCCCACAACAGTTTACACTTTACACTGTCCACCCCCTACTGTAATGATCCTCAGCCCGCTGGTTAATCGTCTACTAGAAGCCCAAACCATCTGCAGCACCTTTGGAAGACTTCTCCATGCTTTGCAACCCTTCGCCCCCCCTTCCTCAGTATCACTTCTCATCCCCTTGCAAATTATCTTGTTCCGAACCCCAACGGACGCTGTCTCCGTTGAGCTTCGGAGTTCCTCCATTTTCCTCCGTTTTCCCCCTGCTTTGGACGATTTTCCTTCATTTTCTGTCGTTTTTTCCCTACCTTTTTCCTGTCATTCCTCCATTTTCCTCCATTTTCGCCCTGTTTTCAACGATTTTCCTTCATTTTCCTTGGTTTTTTCCTCCCTTTTTCCTGCCGGAGTCAACGGACCTAGGGGGAATCGAAGCCTACCGTCACCTCTTTGCGTAGTGGTACATACCCCCCAAAAAAGTTCAATTTACACGCCCTCCACTGCAACTAATTTCGAGATTTTGGCGCCACACGCGACGACCACCCCCCAGACCCCCTAATACTCACTTCGTTCGCCAAAACAACTTTGCCTAGCCTATCGGCTGGCTTTCGTAATAATTCATTACATATTCATCATATACCTTGTTCCTCAATGTGTAGTTAACTAACTTATTAAACGTTACTTCCAATGGTTCTTGGCATCGGCGTCACATGGCGTCACCATCGCACTATCGATGCACGCATTGTTTCGGGCAGTTGATCACAGGTCAGCCACGGAACAGCCACGGAACAGCCCGCTCAGCCCGCTCACTGCACGCCATCGGCTTCCATGTCATCTTCCCTGGTCTCTATGTCAGTCTCCAAGATCTTCTCGTCCGTGCCATCAAGTTCATTGTACACTTCCAAGGTGATCTTGTCTTTCTGGATTGCCTTGCAAATCTCAAGGTTCTCACCATGAATCAGCGCCTCTCCCTGCAAATCGATCAATTTCCGAGCTTCGAACTCTCGGTCCTCGGAATTGCGCAGGATCTGGCGTGCCTCTTCTTTCAAGGACTCTGTCTCTACCTTCTCCAAGCTACAGGAATCAGAGCTGCCACGTGTCAAGTGCTTGATGTGCTTGTGATTCTCCTCAATGAAGCTTTCAAGAGTCCCCTTGGATGCCGGGCTTTCAGGCTGCGATTCCTGCAGCAAACCGAAGTCCCACTCGCACGAAGCCCCAGTGAATTTTGAAGCAAGCGCCCGGCTGCGACGGGGTGAAAGTTTCTCCAATTCCGCTTCGCCAGTCTCGCGGTCCACCAACACCATAGCACCGTAATTGCCTTGGCCGGGAGTAGAGAACATCTTCTTATCCCAGGGAGGCTGCTGCCCATCGATGCAAAACATGCCCACGTAGTCTGCAGCTGAGAAAACGGTCGTCACGACATACTTACCCTTCGTTTTCATCTCGTAGCCGGCCTTCACTTGCTCATGTCCGCGGAACATGACCTTCAGGTTGTTGGATTTCAAGAAGGCCTCTGCCAAATCCATGCCGAACTTCTGGATTTTCCGGCCCCGTTGGGACTTAATGTATCCCTCGCCAGTGTGAGGATCAGGCCAAACCGTGGTTTGACCGATGTCTTTGGCCAAACATTCACTGAAGCGACCATCTTTTCCTGTGCATGCACTCTCTAACTCAGGACTGAGGCCGCCGTGCAGCGCCATAAACCGGCCTCGTGACACGGCCACATAGGGCAAGAGTTCAACCACCTCTTCGAAGCGTCCAGTGCTAAGTCCATCATGGAACTTGTACTTCAGCTCCTTGGCAAAACCATATTTCTTCCACATTTTATTGGTTTCGTGGTTGCCTTGTAGGAGAACCATTCCCTGAGGACATCGTGCCTTCAGGGTTATCAAACATGCTAGAATGCTGTGCTCTGGACATATGAAAGACAGCTAGCTAGAGAATCGCAGCACAAACCTAACCTGGCACGGATACGGTCGAATTTTGTGTTTGCATCCGTCGGTTAACCATCTCTCGGCGGATTCAGACGCAATAGGGTGACATGGGACCGCTATCGCAAGCGGACCTGGCAATCTAGATGAGGTGTGTAAAATGATGTAAAGCTATGTAAAACGTATGTGTGTCTAGCTTTTTGGTGGTTTGATTCTTTTTCCTTAAATTCATTATCTACACTGTTAATTACACAATATCTACACTGTCTATATCTGTCTATATCTGTGTATACTGCACATGCGCAACTGTTCAAGAACCCCCGGCCTTGTAGGCCAGCAAAAGCAGGAGCAATTCGACTCCTCGTTCCCCACGATCCACGTAGTCGCCCAGGAACACATACTGAATGCCTGGATCACAGAAAAGCAAGGCCGATCCGTCCAGGGTAGTGAAGCCCTTGTCCTGGTATTTTTCTTTGATCAAGATCAAAAATGAGATGAGATTGAAGAGCTGCCCGTGAAGGTCTCCGATGATCACGGCATTTTGGGTCGCATTGATCTCTTGACTGTAGTTCTGCTGGTTGAGCTCTGGCTGCAGAACCTCATTCTTCACTTTTTTCAGGAAACTCTTCACTTTGTCTGGCCTCATGAGCTCCAGGTCCTCATAGTTTTCATGCGTCAATGTCAGGGCTGTTTTCTCGAGTTGTTCCACAAAGTCTGTGGCCAATTCTTGCAATGGAAGGTCACGGTGATACAGTTCACATTGTGGAGCAGCAGGGCCACTTCTACGTATCACCTTGGCCTTTTGGGGCTCTTTTGAATGGAGAACAGTGCAATCTTCCACACAAAAAGTACCATAGCCCTGAACTTCCTCAGGCTCCTTCCTGACGGTGCAGTTTTGGAATTGCCATTGCCCTTTCCATTCTGATTTCAAGCTATAGCTTTGGCCACTGCACTTGGCAGCACAACAATCATCTTCACAAATGCCTTGGTACCAGGGGAAAAACCGCAGAAAACACTGCTGTGGGCCATGCGCGCTTGTCCGCAAGACTTTGATTGGCTTGCTCTTGCCGAAGTACGGAGTCTGGCAAGTCTCTTCACACATGGTCTCACCTAGAACCTCAAGAGGTTTATTTTTTGTCACCTGGCAATCTTGGAATTTGACTTGTCCCAAGTCTCCTTTGACTTCTTCAGTTTGGCTATCGCATTTCGCTGTGCAACATTTTCTGCACCAAAAAGGGCTTTGCTGGTGTGCCAGTGCGTGCTGGTCGCGGAGGGCAGCCACAAGGGCTCCCGGCAACAGCATCAACACAATCAGCATGGCCATGGAAATCTCGCTGCGATTGTGCAAGAAACTGATTTGATCTGATGATATCGGGTGACTTGATCTGAAAACAGCAGGTCACTTGGATTCCACTTGGATCTGTCAAAATCAACAGCCGGTCACTGCCCCACTTTCGACGTCATCACCAGCTGGGGCTCTGGACGACATGTGGACGACATGGTGATGGCAGTCACTACACCTGCAACATGGCAGTCATTGCAAAACGTGTCTGTCATGTTGCAGCTATATGCAGCTATGGACTCAGGCAGTTTACGTGCCCCAATTGCAGTAACCCATGATACGAAGCAGAAACTCCAGATCAATGAGAGTTGTCATCATCGGTTTCTTCAAACCTCACGGCATCCTCATCGGCTCGCTTTTAGTTCGCAATCCTGGAAAGAACATCTTGTGCTGGGAACCCGGCACATTCTGGCACACAGTGGCATAGATGTTCCCCACAGTTTCTTGAGTCAAACCTAGTATCTTCAATACTCTGGGGTAGAATGAGGGGAAAAAACTGTGAAACTTCAACAACTTCCAGTGAGTATCAGTGAGTCAATCAGTCAGCCAGCCAGCCAGTCAGTCAGCCATTTAGTCAAAGTGAATCTCCCCACATTCTATCGGCCCGCTGCGCGTCATCCCACAGAGGTGGTCTTGTTGGCGACACTGAAAACCTCAAAATACCCCAGCGCAGCCAAAAAGGGCGAGGACCATGAAGGGTCTGCGCTAACTTGGTGCTACTTGGTGCGAATGATATCTATCTATCTATCTATCTATCTATCTATCTATCTCTATCTATCTATCTATCTATCTATATCTATATCTATATCTATATCTCTATCTCTATCTCTATCTCTATCTATCTATCTATCTATCTATCTATCTAATTCTATTCTATTCTATTCTGTTCTATTCTATTCTATTGTATTCTATTCTATTCTATTCTATTCTATCTATTCTATCTATCTATTCTATCTATCTAATTCTATTCTATTCTATTCTATTCTGTTCTATTCTATTCTATTCTATCTATCTATCTATCTATCTATCTATCTATATCTCTATCTATCTATATCTATCTATATCTATCGGTCTATCTATCTATCTATCTATCTATATCTATCTATCTATATCTATCTATATCTATCTATATCTATCTATATCTATCTATATCTATCTATATCTATCTATATCTATCTATATCTATCTATATCTATCTATATCTATCTATCTATCTATCTACCTATCTCTATCTATCTATCTATCTATCTATATCTATCTATCTATCTATCTATCTCTATCTATATCTATCTATCTATCTCTCTCTCTCTCTGTCTCTCTTTCATCCAATTACCTATCTATCTATCTATCTATCTGTCTATCTATCTATCTATCTATCTATATCTATATCTATATCTATATCTCTATCTCTATCTCTATCTCTATCTATCTATCTATCTATCTATCTATCTATCTATCTAATTCTATTCTATTCTATTCTGTTCTATTCTATTCTATTCTATTCTATTCTATCTATTCTATCTATCTATTCTATCTATTCTATCTATCTATTCTTTCTTTCTATCTATCTATCTATCTTTCCATCCATCTATCTATCTATCTAGACCTGTCAACAAAGAATTTTGAACCTGCGTGGTGTGGTCGTTTTGGTCGTTTGGTGTCCTGGAAGGCCAGTTGCCAACCTCATTGTGATGCCATCATATGCCATCTCATCCTGAAGCCAAGTCATTTATACCCGACCTACCTTGGCATGACAAATGCTAAATGATCAGCCAATGGCTGTCTTTGATTCTTGGAAATCGGCCGAAATCGTGGACAATCTGACTTTTCCATTCTTCGTCAATTCCGCCAGCAACTTCAGCTCGAGCCCTGCTCCAAACATGGCAATGGAGAAAAACTAGCCAAATTGAACCAACATGAATAAAAAGTATAAAAATGAAGGACAAGCAAACCGCTCATTGCAAACCGTGGTTCGTAGATCATCTAGGACACAGTTGTGTTGTGAGCTGATGCATTGGCCCTGTGCAGCCAGGAAACACCACTACATGTTTTTTTTGACATCGCAAGTCACCGCTCAAGCTTTTAGCATGTTGATATTGCCACCATGATACTTACCGCCTAAAAAATGTTTGATCATGTCTCTGTGCATAAGACTAGACACATATTACCCTCTGGTAAATTAACATAGACCCTGGCAGATAGGGGTTGGAAGACTAGTTTCCATTAAAAATTGGTGATTTTCAGGAAAAAAATGTTAATCTTCACACACCCAGACATGGCAAATCCGCAGTAAGAGAATACCTGTAGAAAGTGTTCCCGGGCCTCCAGGGATTCACCGTGATATACCGTGAGGCTCACCGACCTGAGCGCTGCGAATCCATGAGATACAAAACATAACATTGAGTTGGCCTCTTTCAAACCGGCGCAAAACATGGAACATCATGGAACATACTAACGCAACATATACACCTGAGAAGGGGGGACGAAAGCCAGCCCTTAGCCCGAATCTTTTTGTTTCCGCAGAGAAATGTCGTGGTAGCGGCCATGATCGAAGTTATCACCCCAAACGTCCTCTTACAATCCCGTATGAACAGAAGCCCAAACCATCTGCAGCACCTTTGGAAGACTTCTCCTTGCTTTGCAACCCTTCGCCCCCCCCTTCCTCAGTATCACTTCTGATCCCCTTGCAAACTATCTTGTTCCGAACCCCAACGGACGCTGCTCTCCGTTGAGCTTCGGAGTTCCTCCATTTTCCTCCGTTTTCCCGCTGCTTTTAACGATTTTCCTTCATATTCTTTCGTTTTTTTCAAACCCTTTTCCTGCCGTTCCTCCACTTTCCTCCGTTCCCAAAACGGCCGTTTCCCAATGATCCCAGAAGAGAAATTCAATAGCCGACCGAAGGGCCGCTAAATGGCAGAAAGTTGCTCCCATGCTTCCCCGTAACCTCGCGTAGCCAACTGTCACCTCCCTCCCATACAGAGACAGACACAGACACAGACAGACATACACACAACACTCTACACTTCACACTCTACACTTTACACTCTACACTTTACACTCCACGCTCCACACTCCACAGTGTAGACTTTACACTCTGCACTTTACAGTCTACAGTCTACACTTTACACTCTACACTCCACACTCCACACTTTACACTCCACACACTACACTTTACACTCTACACTGTTTACACTTTACACTTTACACTCCACACTCCACACTCCACACTCTACACTTTACACACTACACTTTACACTCTACACTTTACACTCCACACTCCACACTCTACACTTTACACACTACACTCTACACTCGACACTCTTCACTCTACACTCCATACTTTACACGTTACACTTTGCACTCCGCAATTTCTCACTGCACACTTTACACTCCACACTCTACACTTTACACTCCACACTCTACACTTGACACTTTACACTCCACACTCTACACTCTACTCCACACTTTCCACTTTACACTTTACACTCCATACTCCACACTTTACACTCCACACTCCACACTCTACACTTTACACTCCACACTCCACACTCTGCACTTTACACACTACACTTTACACTCTACACTCTTCACTCTCCACTCCATACTTTACACTTTACAATTTACACTTTACACTCCTCACTGCACACTTGACGCTCCACACTCCACACTTTACACTCCACACTCTACACTTTACACTCTACACTCCACACTTTACACTTTACACTGTACACTCCTCACTCCACACTTTACACTTTACACTCTACACTTTACACTCTACACTCCACACTTTCCACTTTACACTTTACACTCCATAATCCACACTTTACACTCCACACTCCACACTCTACACTTTACGCTCCACACTCCACACTCTACGTACACTTTACACACTACACTTTACACTCTACGCTCTTCACTCTCCACTCCAGAGATTTACACTTTACACTTTACACTCCTCACTCCTCACTGCACACTTTACACTGTACACTCCACACTCCACACTTTACACTCCACACTCTACACTTTACACTCTACACTTTACACTCTACACTTTACACTGTATACACTCCTCACTCCACACTCCACACTTTACACTCTACACTTTAAACTCTACACTTGACACTCTACACTCTACACTCTACACTCCACACCTTACACTTTACAGTGTACACCCCTCACTCCACACTTTGTGTCAAAGATGATGTGTGACAAAGTGGTGTGGGACAAAGTTGTGTGCGAAAGATGGTGTGTGACAAAGCTGTGTGAAAGATGGTCTGTGACAAAGTTGTGTATGAAAGATGGTGGGTGAAAGGGGGTGTGTCACAAAGTGGTGTGTGAAAGATGGTGTGTCACAAAGTAGTGTGTGAAAGATGGTGTGTGACAAAGTTGTGTGTGTGTGAAAGATGGTGGGTGAAAGATTGTATGTCACTCCACACTTTACACTCCACGCTCCACACTTCATACTCCATACTCCACACTCCACACTCTACACTTTCCACTCCACACTCCACACTCTACACTTTACACTCTGCACTTTACACTTTACACTCTGCACTTTACACTCTACACTTCACACTCTACACTCTACGCTCCACACTTTACACTTTACACTGCACACTCCCTCCACAACAGTTTACACTTTACACTGTCCACCCCCCTACTGTAATGATCCTCAGCCCGCTGGTTAATCGTCTACTAGAAGCCCAAACCATGCAGCACCTTTGGAAGACTTCTCCTTGCTTTGCAACCCTTCGCCCCCCCTTCCTCAGTATCACTTCTCATCCCCTTGCAAATTATCTTGTTCCGAACCCCAACGGACGCTGCTCTCCGTTGAGCTTCGGAGTTCCTCCATTTTCCTCCGTTTTCCCGCTGCTTTGGACGATTTTCCTTCATTTTCTGTCGTTTTTTCCCTACCTTTTTCCTGTCATTCCTCCATTTTCCTCCATTTTCACCCTGTTTTCAACGATTTTCCTTCATTTTCCTTGGTTTTTTCCTCCCTTTTTCCTGCCGGAGT